GCACACTCTGATCGGTTTTACAATAATGAAAATATATTTTATGTAAATTGGTCAATTATATGTTATAAAAGTTTTTTAATTACACACTATTTTATGCAAGTAAATGATTTGATATGTCAGTGTGACACCTCGGATTCGTATCCGGGTCGGGTACGGGTTGAGAGGTGTTACAATTTCCATGAAGAAAAGTTGTTTTAACATCTAGTTGCTCTAGATGTAAGTTCAATGTAGCACACATTGCCAAGACTACTCGAACTGTTGTTAGTCGAACCATAGGAGAAAAATATTTCTTTGAAATCAATACCTTCTTTTTGAGCATATTATTTGACCACCAGTCTTGCACGATACCTCTCCACTTGATCATCACCATTTCGCTTGATTTTGAAGACCCATTTGTTACCAATTGGCTTCCTTCCTTGTGGTAGTGGCACAAGGTCCCATGTATTATTTTTATGAAGGGCTTTAATTTCTTCTTGCATCGCCATCATCCACAGTGAAGCATCTGAGTTGTTTATTGCCTCCTCGTATGTTGATGGCTCATCGTCCTATGTTAAAAGGCAATATGCAATATTTCCTTCTATAACATAATCTGAGTGCCAATTGGGACATCTTCTCACACGATCTGATTGACGAGTTGTTGGAGGTTCAGAACTCTCTGGTTCTCGTTCATCATGTGTTGGTTATGCTTCAGAAGAATCTCCTTGTTCAAACTCCTTTTCCATATGTATCTGTGTAGTCTCTAACTTTTCAACGCTACCATCTTCTTCTTCTCTTTGTAGCTTATCTTCTACAAAGATAACATCCTTGTTAATGATCACTTTGCCTTTACACCATCAACATACCCCGAGAATTTGCATTTCCTGGATTTTGGATCAAAATTTGAAATTTCTTGGGAGTTATACATCACGTACACTATACTTCCAAATACATGAGGTTTGAATAATCAGTTGGTTTACCAGTCCACATCTTCATTGGTGTCTTCAGCTCTATTGCAGTTGATGGAGCTCGATTTACCAAATAACATGCGGTATTGATTGATTCTGCCCATAATGATTTTTCTAGGCCTGCATCCCTCAACATTGCTCTTGTTCTTTCTAACAAGGTTCTGTTCATCCGTTCTGTCACTCCATTTTGTTGAGAAGTGTTCGCCACCGTGAACTGTCTTTTGATGCCTTATTTCCTGCAAAAGTCATCAAATTTTTAACTTGTGTATTCTCCTCCATTATCTATTCTAAAACACTTGATCTTATTCCCATAATCAAGTTCCACCCGTGCTTTGAAGTTTTTGAAAGTTGAAAACACATCTGACTTCTTCTTACTAGGGTACACCCAACATCTCCTAGAGTAGTCATCAATAAATGAGACAAAATATTTTGCTACACCTAGGGATGTAATTGGTGCTTGCCATACGTCAGAGTGAACCAATTCTAGAACACTTTTGCCTCTAGAATTTGACTTGTTGAATTTCAACCGGTGCTGCTTACTTGTTATGCAATGCTCACACAAAGTAAGTGATACATTTGTTAAGTCTGAAAGTAGATTTTGCTCCACAAGTACTTTCATTCCTTGTTCTGACATGTGTCAAAGTTTCTTATGCCATAGCATTGCATAATCTGAACTACTTGAAGCAACATAGGCTTCTGCTTCTAACAAAGTCTCTCCCTTCAGCATGTACAAGTTTATTGCTATCTTTTATCCTTTCAGTACCACAAGCGCTCCATGGAATACCTTCATGATTCCTTCCCGTGTTTCAATCTTACTTGCATTATTATCCAACAATTCGTAGGATAATAAAATTTTCTTCAGGCCTTTCACGTGCCGCACATCTCGAACAATTTTGATTGTTCCATCATACATCTTCAATTTGATGGTTCCCACGCCAACGATCTCTAAGGCATGATCATTGCAACTATACACAGATCCTCCTGAGACAGGTTCATAATGATGGAACCATTCTCTTCTTGAGGTCATGTGATATGTTGCTCTCGAATCAATGAGCCATATATCTGCAAATCTTTTTCTGCCTTCTAAGGTGGTTGACGCTTCACAACATAGAGCATCTCCATAATCTAAAGTGTTTGCAGTATTGCCTTGTGGATTGTAGTTTTTATTTAGACTCCAACAATCATTCTTCAAGTGACCTTTCTTTCCACAATTGTAACACTTTAAATTCTTGTTGCTCATCGACTTCAATCTACCATGTTTGTGACTGTTGTTTTGGCCACGTTATGTTAATCTCCCTCTCATCGTTGTCATCGTTGTTAATGCTTCTGCTTGTTGCAGATTTACTTGTATGTTTTCCTTGTTCTTGTGCCGATTTTTTTCTTGTAGAACAGTAGCTGCAACGTCATCGAAGACTAGACTGGTGACATTACTGTTTGTCAAGTTGATGATGAGTTGATCATAAGAATCAGGTAGACTTTGAAGTAGAAGTTTAACACGTTCTTGTTCTCCTATTGTACAACTTAAGGATGTTCTCCTATTGTACAACTTAAGTATGTAAGCTGAGAAAATAAAGTGTTCAACGTGTTTAAGTGCTCCGGCACTGAAGTAGATTCTGGCATACGGAGAGTGTACAATTTCCTCTTAAGGAAAATTTTATTGTGCAACGATATGGCCTCGTATAATTTGGTGAGATGATCCCATGTCTCCTTAGTTGTCTTCTTCTTCTCGATGCTTGACAATACTTCATCTGGTAATGCTAGATAAAAGTTTGCCATAACATTCCCGTCCATTTCGATCCATTTGTTGTCATCTGTGAAATCCACCGACCTTTCACTAATAGCTGCTAGACAACCGTCTTTCCTCATGATGACCTTCATCTTCAATTTCCACAATGAGAAATTTCTCCCATTGAACTTTTCAATATCAAATTTTGTTGTCATAGCTTCTAATATAGATAGCTCCCACTATTTCACTATCGTGAATAGTTCTCCATAACCTTCAAAGAATGGGTAATACATTCTTACTTTCTTATGTTAGATAATCCACCTTTTTGTGGCAACCACAAAGACAATAAGCAGATATTACACACTCAAATCTGGCTCGGATACCAATTGTTGCGGAAGACAGCTATCGGATAGAGCAAAATTGCAACTGATAATTTGAGAAAATAAAAATGAAGATAAAATAGACACAAAATTTACGTGGAAAATCCCTAAATAATATAGGGTAAAAAACCACAGGCAACGGTAGAAGAATTTCACTATGAGAAAATAGGAATTACAACTTCTCTCGATCTACCAAGGAGAAAATAATGATAATTCTCTCTTGATAAAAAGAAGAAAACAACTCTCAAGAAACTCTCTAAATTCTCTAGTATTGGGAGAAAACTATAATGATTTGGGATGGTTTTGAAGCTAAATAAGCTAGAGTATTTATAGTTGAAACTTAAGAAATAATTTGTAAATACCCTAAATTATAATGGCTAAAATTGAGGTTCTACCATTGTTGAAAAATCAACAATTGCTGCAGCCCTTTTGACAATTGCATATTCGGTGCATTAATGCACCGAAATCTTCCTCCCATATTTGGCTTTCTACACTTTGTAAATCAACCCTACAGTAGCTTCCTGCATCGGTTTCAAAGTAAATAATCAGGCACAGTCGCAAGATTTTATGATAAAAATTTACGAAACAAAAACTGGCATACCAGTACGAAGGAAAAGGATCAAACTAGAATCAAGATACATAGGGAGGGAAAGGGTGTTGGGCTCCATTTTAATGAACCCAATGTGCATTGGTTTCTCAACAATCCTTGTTCTTTCATGGCTTCTTACAATTCTCATTTCTCCGGCTTCGGTTTTCATCACAGGCTCTGAGTTTAGCAACAAGAACAATTCATCTTGTCTGCCTTCTTTATCCCTCTCTTCTTGCTCTACTTCGAACCCAGTTGCCATTGCCATTGTTGTTCCATAACCAATAATAAGTGTCACCAGCAAAAAAGTTCACTATTTTTCCATTCTCCCCGCTCTAACAATGATTTGCTTTGAGCCGAGTTGATCAAACTGGTTTATGTAGAGGGCTAGGAGAGAAATTAAGGGAGACACGTGCAATTCATCCATGGTTTGCCAGTTTAGGTGGAGGATTATGGTTTAAAATTCAGTGAGAAATATCAGTTCTTTGCAAGACAGAGTATTCTGCTTAAATGTATATGTTTTAGGATTAACGATCCAAATCCATTTTATTAATAATATTTTTTATCTTTTAAATTTGATTTAATCTATGTATATATTAAAAAAAACTGAAAGTCCTTGATCTTTTGAAATTATCATTATAGTTATTACATATAATCATAATATATATGTAGATATATAAAAAGACGTGATTTTTTTGTTTTAGTATTATAAAACGTGTTTTTTTTTGTTTTTTTTTATTTTTAATAAGTTTGTCTATATGACACATTTTTATATGATTTTATGACATTTTTTATTCTGTTTTTATTATATTTTTTGGTCGTTTGGTCTTTTTTTAGTTATTTTTTAAAGGTTGATTTGGAATATCGTCACGATTGATTTAAATGCTTCTTATCTAATATTTTGTTGATATTTCTTGCTTTGGACTCTCAAATTGAATTCAGATACCCGATTTATATTCGTGTGTAGCTTTTTACATCATTTGAGTTTGATTTGCGGTTTATCAGTGATCTTTCAATAGCTTGATCTCCTTTAATGGTTCGTTTGTCGATGTGATTAGATATGTTTATATTTTCTTTATTCGAGTTTATTGGTTAGGTTTTTAATTTTTCCTTGTATAGTTCTTATGTGATCTAGTGTTGATAATTTTTATTTCTAGTTAGGTTTTTAATATTTACTTGTATAGTCTTTATAAATCTTTATTGTAATTAGAAATTTTTTTATCTTAAATAAAATTAATAGATTCTATAAAAAAAATTATAAAAGGTGTAAAAACGACATAGTCGTAAGCAAAGCAAACCCAAGCTTTACTGTAAAGAAAAAAACCATTTAAAAAAAACGAAGTAAATTACCAAACTGCAAATCTGAAGCGACGATATTGTTTTGTTTTGTTACAAATCCAACGGTCATTTCTCCACAAAAAAACTCATCGTGTCCAAAACAATTACAAACAATGACTGAGTCGTCTCAAGACATTCCGAATTCAAATTCACAACCAGAAACGATTCCTAGTATTCCAATCGAGTTCGTGAGTGAAGACGAGATGGCTCTGATTGAAGCAGCTTACGCTGCAACTCGTCCTACTCTATCTTCCTCCATTTCTTCTTCAATTTGTTCACCCAGTTCCCGCTTTCAAACCAACACTAGAACCATCCAGTCGATCGCCCTCTTATCTAAACGAGCTTTAAATGGTTCCGGTGAGCTTGACATGGAGGATTCCGACAGGTTGAAGAATGCCCAGAAGAGGATTAGAGTCACTCAGCCCTTCTTGCATCGGTTTAGAAGGAAACGGGCGCTATGGGTTACTGATATTACTGCCACGGTATTGACTTTTGCTTTTGCTTTTGGAGGATTTTTTAGAATATGTGTTTGGCTTGCTTTCGAAATTTAGTTTATAATTGAATGGAAATCTTTCGTAGGAATGGTGTGAAAAACAAATGGAATTTTCCCTCGTCTCTGGCAAACGAAAAACAAGTAAAGCTATGAAAGCTGGTAAGGCTCGCCATGTGGAACTTGAAGAAGAGGTACATTTTTAAGCTCCCGAGTCCTTTAAATATGACTGCTTTTTACATGTTTGTCTTGCTTATTTGACATGTCTCAGTTAGGTTCATTTTAGTTTTTGCATTTACTTCATATTCTCAAACTTGGGCTAGATTTTTTCTTCAATGTAATAGTTAACTTTGTTTCCTTACAGTGTGTATTATATATCAACTGCTGTGTTACCCAAATTCTTCATTTTTGTTAAAGAATTCGTGTCCTACAGTTGTTTTCAACACTTACTCAATACGTATATATTAGATATGATCCTTTAAAACCTAAGAAAAAATTGAACATGTACATACCTAGAACTTGCTCCGGGTAAAATGGAACAAACATTCTCCTTCTCCTTGATTTATCCTGGTTAATTGTCAAATTGAAATAATAAGACTTGGTTTGAATGGAATTCTGCCAACTCGTTGCTCTGCGTTTACTTTCATTTGTTTTGGTAATCCTCTCTTGAACTTCATTGTCAACCATTTGTTTCCTTTAGGTACACTTAATGTTAGTATTTTGACATTAATAGTGTTCCTTTGCAGGTTGTTAAAAAAGTAAAAGTTCGTGTGGAGTCAGTCGAAGATAGCTGGGCATTAAAATTCATTAACTTCATAACCTGTGCAAATCAATTACTATTTGAAGGACTAACACGTGAGATACCACTGTAAGTTAAAGTGTTCATGTTATCTCGAAAATCAAAATCCATCTTTCTCTTGTCATAGTTCAGATGACTCTTGGCCTTGGGAAAAATTTACTCTGCATGAAAGAACAACAGGTTGTGCTTGATCTCTAGGTTATTACGCTTGCACATCAGGTTTTTCTGACAAATTGAGTCTAAGAAGGTGGTTTTAAGAACTTAACAAGATTTTGTTTCTGGTTCCTATGTTACTTGAACTCGGGTATACAGGTTCGATTTTTTTATGTATATGAAAAGGCGTTTGAGGGTCATGTTCCTATTCTCATGTTTGGATCTGTGTTTGGAGTAAAAGCAACATTCTTTGTCCTTATTTCAAGATTTTTCATATGATGGTTGGCTGATTCTTTTTCTCTTAAACATGTACCAATGGGCAGTCTAGATCAAAACCTTTGTAAAACTCAGATCAGATATTGGAATAGTAATTTTAATGAGATTTGGCTATTGGTTTTCGTTTTAATTGCCCTAGTAATGGACTTTGTTGCTTATATAACATCAGAGTAGGGTTTGTGGAAGGCATATGGTTGGTAGGTATTATCGATGAGTTGCGAATGCCTGAAACTGGAAGTGATAGGAACCCAATAATAGTAGACACAAAGACTCGTGTACGAGATTCTCTTCCTGCTGAAGCACAAAGGAGAAATGGAAGGTATGAATATTTTACAATGACTAGCCATTAGCAATTATACCCACTTTTATTAAATTGATTCTATCAAGTTTCTCAAGATTTCACAAATCTAAGTACCTAGTTTTCTGTTGCAGGCTTCAATTAATGTGCTACAAGTATTTGTGGGATACCTTGGTTGCAGATAGCTTCCCTTCCGGACAGTTTTTCGATTTCTTTTCATTGAACCGTAACTACATATTGTCCGAGGATATCAGAGAGAGAACTGCTAATGCAGGTTTTCCAGCTAAGGTAACTTAATATATCGTCTTCTTCCTTCTTATTTTTATTCCATTCAATCTGGAATAATCATGGTATTTAGAGGCTGATGTACCATCATTTTGATTACTAAAATCTACTATGCTTTCTATTAATATCTTTGGTTCTGGAGTCTTGTACTCTTATTCATCAATGAGGATGGGTTGGTACAAAGGAGGTCAGATCATAGTTTGGGGGTAACGAAAAATATTGCATATTCTGGGGATTCAAATCCCAGACCTACTATGAGCTATCTCTTAAAGGTACCTACCTGAACCAACTGAGCTAAGCTCCGAGTTCGTGGATGGGTTAATTTGCCGCACAAATAAATGTAACAATTTTGTGCATCATGGTGAAGGGTGAAACTGAGAGCTAAGATTAATCAAGGTAACTAGTATATCTTCATGCCATCAAATCTGACCAAATGGTTTCGGTTTGCCCTTCAATTGCTGTGCAGACACTTGATGACATGATTCAATATTACATAAATACATGTAGCATGCTTCCCTCCTCTCAAGACCGGCTATTATTGAGGTAAGTGAAAATTTTGCCCTGTAGTTGAATATTTTTGTTTGACCAACACATGAAGGCCTGCATTTATGACGTGGTTACATTTAGGATGTGATAGTTTTATTGGACTTAATTCGACAAATATTGAAGAGGCTTGAATCAGTTTGGTACTAATGCATGCCTCGTTATTGTAAGAGACACTATAGTTGCTTTATGAACTTGGTATTCAGGGAACTTCGTTGGATTTATCATATAGAATATATTCTTTTTGTTGCAAAGTAGATCATAACATGAAAATAAGGAAAGAGTTAATGATGCTGGATCTCAAACCCTGATTGCTAGATTCTACCTTTTGAGAGCGACTGCGTGAACCGACTTGGCTAAACCTGTATTCATTTAGGTCTTAGTTCATGAGGAAACATTTAGCTAGAGATATATGCAACTTTTTTCACGAACAGCTTTACGTGGTTGCTTTTGAAGCAGATATGAACTACAAAAAGATCAGTCAGTTATAGGTGAAGATCAGTTTGCATACGATCCCGAGTGGCTCAAAAACCAAATTAAAATCAATCTGGAGCTCTTGCTAGGAGAACGAGAAGCAAGCTACACCCCTGAGGAAGAACGTTGGAAGTGTCGGCATTGTCAGTTTGCTTCAGTTTGCCCTGGAAACCCGAATCCTAATAGCCCACCTAGCTCCTCTTCGAGCTCTGATCAAAACAGCTCCTCAAACTAGAGATGATATTTTCTGGGAGTTCCTAAATGTCATGATGTTGTCTTAAGCATAAGTCGGTTGAGATAATTGCTGTAAAACTTTCCTCCAATGTAGGTAGTAGGACTAGGTGAATTATTGTTGTAATTCGTACAGTCAATTATTTTTATCAATTATAAATATTTTCATGATAAATAATGGCTTTTACATTGAAAATTACACTTTTGAATTTAGATACTGTTTGAATGTTTGTTGTATATACGCGTAAACAATTAAAAATAAATTCATAAATTAAGATTAAAATGGATCCATATTAAATTTTCTATTAAATATATATGGGAAATAATACAAATCAAACCAAACTAATCTAAACAAAGAAACAAATAAATATTTAATTTATAGATACAAAATTATTATATTATAAATAAATAAAATATAAACATTTAAAGATGGTGCAAGTTTAATAATAAAAAATTTAAATTTAACATTCATAATTATTTAAAAATATAAACATTTAAATGCGCTTGAGAATTTAGAGAGAGAAAAAAAAAGTGATGGCGGAGTCGGACAGTAGCGAAACTATCAAACTGCTACAAGAAGACACACCAGGCAACGCCCAACTTATCTTATCTAAAAAACATAGTGAAATGCGACTGAAAAATATATTTCGAATACGTATCAAGGGAAAGAATAAAGCGACACATTCCCAAACCAAATGCTCACAAGAATTCCAGCAACGTTAATACAGGAAGAAAGTTCTAGGACCACTAATTTGCCTTATTCATCATTAGAACCCAAAAAGGAAAAATAAATAGATCCTTATTATGCCTTGTAAACTAACTTTTATATTAAATCTTAATTAATGGATGCATTTCATTCATACCACCTACAAAGCAGAGAGATAAACCTAAAATTTCAAATTAAGATTTGCAAACCAAACCGAATTATAAATCATCCACGTTTGCTTTTGTGCAATTTGCGTTGGAGGCTGGTAGAAGAAGAGCTGTTCAATACGTTAATGGAACGCTGATTGACGGGAAGAGAGTCTCAGTGGGGGTCGCAAGATATAAGAAGGATAGGAGGAGTGAACCAGTTGGGAAGAACTATCAGTGGGAAGGAAACAAGTCAGTTAGAGAGGTCAAAGGTAAACAACAGGTGGTTCTGGATAAACCGAGAAGCTTGAGGGATGGCCGATCGTTTCAGGAGGTGCTGAAAGTGGATATCAGAAGGGGATTGGAGCAGGATGCAGTGGAAAAGCAGGGAGGTCATGAGAAGAAAGCAAATGGTTTAAGGGATGTATGGAATATGCACATTCCGTCTGAAGATTCACACTGGGTGAAAAATGCTTTAACAGGGGGTTATCAAATATCCCTTTCAGCTTGATTCGTTGAAAGTGGCTATGAAAAATGAGGGGTTCGAGGTCAAATTGGTAAATTGGGGATATGTTCGGAATGATTGTATTGTTATGTTCAATTCGAATGAAGAGTTCGTAGAGGTATGGTCGAATCGCCAAGAGAAGTTATCTTCTTGGTTTCATTGGGTATCTCCGTTGTTGAATGAGGGAGGTGTTCCTTCGGCGTATTGTTTGGTTGAGTTGGTAGGATTACTATTTCTGTGCTGGTCGGAACATTTCTTGGAGAAACTTGCAGGTACGTGGGGGGAGTTCGTTAGTATCATGGAGGAGACTAGAAAGAGAGAGGATCTCTCTGCAGCGAGACTGTTGTTAAGGGTTGCTAGTCCCTTTGACGTTCCCGAATTTACAAATGTAGGGTCCTATGGTAGATCCTTTAAAGTTAAAATTAATTCGGGATCGAAGTGTACTAATTTCTCAATTGCAAGAGAAGAAGAGTGGAAGAAGGTCTCAGTAGAAGGGTACTGTGCAGATCCTTCGAAGGAGGAAGAAGATGGAAGTTTTGAGAAGGTAAATTATAAGGAGGAAGTTCGGTCCAAGGAGGGCACATGTTTTCAGCAAACACAAGATAGTGGATGCTATGAAAGAGTTGGGGAACATTCTAGGAATAATAAATCAGGCACGGAACTCAAAACTAATGGGTTGTCAGTTAATTTAGTGGATGGCCACAGTGCTGATTTTTTTAAAGGAGGTCGTTGAGGGAAGTGGGGCTAAGGTAGGCAGGAGGTATGAGAAAAGTAATGACAGCGGGTTGAACGATGAAGGTGGTGAATATTCTCAGAAAAACAATTCTCTTTCGGAATCCAGCAGTATTGGGGTGTCAGAGAAGTTTCAATTGGAACTAGATCCTACTAGGGATTTTGCGGGTCTTGGGCTGAGAGAGGATGTGGGTCACAGCTCTTCAGCCCATTCCGATTCGGATTGGGAGGTGCACTCCCATGTCTCTAAAATTTTACCTGCTGGGCGGGTTGTGAAGGTCTCTCGTGACGTGGCCTCTTCTTAACAATAAGGTTCAGTCTCCCGACTGTTTAGGGGAGGTAAGTGGTAATTTTATTGAGAAGTCTATGGAAGGTCGACAGGAACTTGAGGTAAGTGGTAATGGTTTGGGAGAGCAAATTGTAGGCTCTGCTCGTAAGGAGGAGTCCAGTAAAATCAAAGTGAAGAGTTCTAGGAGATGGAAGTTGGGTTTTCAGGTTTCTAAATGCATGTCTATCAGAAGTGCACAGGATGGTAGGAGGGGTTGTGGTCGTTTTGCTAGAGTTTATAGAAGGTCAAGAGCCAGAAGAGTCTGGTTATGCTCGGGTATTGTTAAGGAAAATTTGTGTTTGGAAGGCAGTCAGAATCAGAAGCATAATCAGAGTAGTGGGGATATGGCTAACTGTCAGCAGCTTTCCCTTAGAATTCGGGAAAATGGTCTGGGTTTCTTTAACAATAGTTCTGTCCCTGTTCAGAGTACTTCGGTGGTTCCCCTGGTTAGCAGTTCAGTTTCTCCTCCTAAGGGAACAGATTCCATTATTGCCTCTTGTTCTCGTAAAGATTATAGAAGGAAAAGAAGAGGCTTAATTTCAGAAGCTTTGGGCTTAGCGGAGATTTCAACGGTGTATTCTAGTACCTTTAATAAACTGTTGGAGGAAGCTTTGGAAACTTGGGATGTATGTCAGATGTTAGGTATTTCGTTCAAGGAAGGGAGGGAGGCTTTTATCAAAAAATTCTAAGTCTTGAGAAAGGCGAGGAGGTGGTGTTGGAAGGTTGATATGTTGTTTAAGTTTTGTTGGTTGAAGGGTGCAGTTTTGGCGTTTTGGAGTAAAGCTTTTTTATGAATCATCTTTGTATTCTGTCGTGGAATATTAGAGGTTTAGGGAGGAGAGAAAAGTCGGTGGCTTTTGCTAGACTAGTAAAGAAGGTCAATCCAGTTATGATTTTTATTTAGGAATCCTAAATACAAAAGTGTCAGTCGTCGTTGGTAAGGCGGATAGGAGGGAAGATGTTAAAGGGTGTCTTGGTGTCTCCTGCTCAGGGGTCGAAGGGGGGTTAATCAGTTTGTGGAATGAGAATGTGTTCAATGTCTCCAATCACCATGTTCACAGTAGGTTTTTGGCTCTGGTGGGAAATTTTATGCACGATCCTAAGGAGTTCATTTTTATTAACGTCTATGGCCCTGCTATTAAAGACGAAAAGGAGGATTTTTTTCGGGAGTTGTTGAACTTTGTTATGTCATGGAATCTCCCGGTGTGTATTGGGGGGGAATTTTAATGCATATCTTGATGCGGAAGAGAAGCTTGGGAAATCCCAGAATTGGCATACCATTAGTATCTTTAGATCTTTTGTGCAACAAGCTAATCTGATGGATTTACCTATGTCAGGAGGAAATTTTACATGGTGCAGTAATAGAGAAGTCTCTACTTGGATTAGACTTGATCGTTTCCTCATATGTGGCAGATTCCTGAACAGTTTTCCCAAGATTTCTCAGGCACTGTTATCGAAATCAATTTCAGATCACAATCCGGTTTTGCTGGAGGATGTTAATCTGAATTGGGGCCCTAAACCCTTTAGATTCTTTAATTTTCTTCTTCAGGAACAAGGCTTCGATTCTTTTGTTGAAAAATTGTTAGCAGTAGAGAAGAATAAGATTAATAACGGGGGTATTTTTCGGGTACTACAAGCTGCTAAAAAACAGATCAGACGCTGGCCCGGTAGTAGTCATTTAAGGCTGCCAGATTTCATTTCGATGCTGGAAGCTGAGATAGCTGGTTTAGAAACTAAGTCACAAGGTGGAATTTTATCCAAGGGGGAGTGGGATCAGTTGACTGAGTGCAAGAAGGAGTTGTGGAGGTTGTTAAGGATTGAAGAGAGTATTTGGTGTCAGAAATCCAGAAGTAGATGGATTAAAAATGGCGACAGGAATACAAGGTTTTTTCATCTATCGGCGTTGAAAAGGAGTAGAGTAAATTGTATTCATACATTAAATATTAATGGAGAACTGGTCTCGGATAAGGAAAAAATTAGAGGTGGTGTGTTCAACTTCTTCAATTCTGCGTACAATTCCAATTCTGCATTGGAGGTGAAGGATCTGAATTTTGATTTTGCGCAATTAACAGCTTCGCAAAGTGCTTTTTTGGAGGCGGAATTCTCTGAGTTAGAAGTTTGGCAAGTTATCTCCTCTTCGGATAGTTCTAAAGCTCCTGGTCCAGACGGTTTTTCCATGGGTTTCTTCAAGAAATACTGGAATTTTTTAAAGGAGCAGATTATGGTGTTTTTCTCAGATTTCTACATGGGGAAAAAGTGGGCTCATGGTGTTAACCATGCTTTTATTACCTTGATTCCTAAGAAGGGCAATCCCGAGAAAATAGAGGATTATAGACCCATAAGTCTTGTGGGCAGCTTGTATAAAATTCTTTCGAAAGTTCTTTCAAAAAGACTCATTTCCTGTATTAAGGACATTATTAGTCCTTCACAGTTTGCTTTTATTCCGGGAAGGCAACTGTGGGACTGTGCATTTATAGCAAATGAAGGAATTGACTCTTGGAGGAAACAAGGTCTTAAAGGGGTTGTATTTAAAGTGGATTTTAGCAGAGCGTACGATATTGTAGAATGGCAGATTATTCAAAGGCTTATGAAAGAATTGGGTTTTGGTAAGAGGTGGTGTTCTTGGATTGCACAATGTATTTCCACAGCCTCAATTTCGGTCCTAGTGAATGGCTCTCCTACTGAGGAGTTTTCGATTGCAAAAGGCTTGAGACAAGGTTGTAGCCTTTCTCCTCTTCTGTTCAATATGGTTGGGGAACTACTTCATTTAATGTTGAATAAAGCAGTGGATTTGGGTCTTTTCCAAGGGTTCTCTTTCGGTAAAAACCAAAATTCTTTTTCTTTGTCTCATCTTCAGTTTGCAGATGATTTAATTATCTTCTGTCGAGCCTCTGTCACTCAAATCAAGAATGTTAGGAGAGTGTTGAGGATTTTCAGCGTTCTAACGGGGCTCCATCTTAATCTTAGTAAAAGTAAGCTCTTTGGGATTAATGTGGGGAGTGACATCCTTGATGAGTGGGCTAGGAACATTGGTTGTTCGGTCGGTTCTTTTCCTACTGATTATTTAGGTCTTCCATTAGGGGCGGTTAAGAATTTGGAGAAGCTTTGGGATCCAGTTTTTGCAAATTTTAATAGGAAACTGACAGGTTGGAAAGCCTCTTCTTTGTCCATGGCTGGTCGTTTGGTACTTATTAAGTCGATTTTATCTTCTTTACCTATCTTTTTTTAAGATGCCTTCTTCTATTTGTCTGAGAGGTTAAATTCCTTGTTGTCGAATTTCCTGTGGGGGGGAGGGGTCAACAAGAAGAAAATGCATTGGGTGAGTTGGGATAAGGTCTGTAGACCGTTGAGTGTAGGAGGTTTGGGAGTTACTGATTTAAGTCTTTTAAACCGAGCGTTGTTGGGTAAGTGGATTTGGAAATTTGCTAATGATACTAATTCTTTGTGGAAGCAGTTTTTATGTAGCAAACACAATGTGAGCTGCCATTCCATGGATATCAATAAGGTTTTCTCCCAAAAAGACTCTTGGATTTGGAGGGGAATCGTAAACAACTTTTTTAAGAATGATGACTTTGGAGGTTGTCTTAGGTCTCATGCAAAGCTTCAAATAGGTAATGGTAAATCCATTTCCTTTTGGAACGATTCGTGGCTTGGTGAGGTCCCTTTGAAACTGTTGTTTCCGAGAATTTTTGTCCTCTCATCCAATAAATTGGGTCACGTTGCTGATTTTGGGAGCTTTGAATTGAGTGGATGGGTTTGGAATGTTACGACTAGGAGGAATCTTTGTGATTGGGAGGTAATGCAGTTGGTTGAGCTTCTGGATAGGTTGAAAGACATTAAACTTATCGAGACTATGGATGATTGTATGCTGTGGGATGGTTCGGACGATGGGTTGTTTTCGGTTAAAGCTTGTAGGCAAGCTCTTTCTTCTTTTCATGATGATTCTTTTCAGTGGAATAAATGTGTTTGGTTGGGGTTTGTTCCACCTAGAGTGGAGACTTTCTTGTGGCAACTGTCTCATCAAAAAGTTGCTGTCAGAGCTGAATTGTTGAGAAGGGGGGTCAATATAGGCGATAATTTTCTTTGCCCGTTATGTAACTTAGAGGAAGAATCTGTTCAACATCTTTTTATTTCATGTCCGGTTTCTTGGGTTATGTGGACTAAACTCATAGGGTTCTGGGGTGTACGGTTAGCGCTTCCTTCTAACCCTCCCAGTCTGCTTAGTTCGTGGGAGGTATTGAGGCCTAATTCTGTGATTTTGCAGTTTATCCCAGGGGTAGTTTTTTGGTCTATTTGGAAGATTAGAAATGAGATCATCTTTGATAAGGGAAAGTTAGACATAATTTCTTTGTTTTTTACTGTGCGTTTCAGATTAGCAAAGTGGTTCCTGGCTAAGTTTCCCCTAATCACATTGCAAGTGGATTCTCTTATTGGAGATCCTACCCTGGCGGACAATCTTACTGCTCATAAGACTGGGAATAACACTGTGTTGAGCTGGATTCCTCCTCCAGTAGACTTTTTCAAGATGAATGTGGATGGGGCTGTTAGTAGTGTGCGGAGGTTGGCGGGTATTGGGGGTATTCCAAGGGACTGGAATCGGGTTACGCTTGCATCTTTTTCAGAGAAAGTCGGTCCAGCTACTCCTATTCTAGCAGAATTAAAGGCAATTAAAAGAGGCATTGATTTATTTCTTTCTTCAAGTTGGGCGTCGAAGGGTAGGCTTATCATTGAAAGTGATTCGAAGACAGCAGTGGAATGGATTAATGATGGCATTTCTTCTCCTGTTTTTCTGGCTAATTTTGTTAAGGACATCGTGTTTTTCCTAGGTGGATTCATGATGGATTAAGACTGGGAATGTTTTTCCGTCTAGACAGGTTGTTGTTAGATGGATTCTTAAGTGCTGTAATTGTGAGGCAGATAAATTAGCTAAGGAGGGAATTGGTTGACTGTTGTTGCTGTTTTAGCTGCTGCGTTTTGTTTAGTGGGGATCTGGCCTAGAAGTCTTTAAGTTTTATGTGTTGTTTGTAGAAGTAGTGGTTGTATCTTATGTTACTGTTTTATTTTAATAAAATTTCTAAGGCTCTCTTCTCCTCCCTCTGCTGATTAAGGAGTTCACTTCTAAACTCCCTTAATCAAGTAGGGGATTTTGGTGAGGCCTTTCATTCCTATAAAAAAAAAAGATTTGCAAACCAAACAAAAACAGTTAATTAACCATTTATTAAAATACATCTCTAAACATAAGCGAGCCCACTGTGTTTATATTCAATTTGTGGACAAATTTATGTATAACCATTCACAATCAAATCACATATCTAGTTCGTAGACAAACAGAACGAAGTTCAAACTCCTTATCAATAATTCATTCAACATTTCGTTCATCGACTGTATTATTGTCCCAGCTCTATCATCCCAGGAAAACTGAGTCGATCATACTGTAACCATGAATTCTATGATATTTAAACCATTGGTACATTTTTCATAACGACTCAAAAAATGCATTCCTTTAATTAACTTTAATCGTATCAATATGATTGAAATTTAAATGTATGCTTATTTAGTCCAGAAAATTTTTGAACACTGCAAATTATTCGGAAAAAAACATGGAATAAGCACAATAACATGAACATATGACACACACGAAAAATGTTGTTAAGTACACCCGCACCATTTCCTTTCTATGCCAAATTTGTACAAGAATTTAACTTGTTATGAACACGGAGTTTATTAGACGCAAAAATTCAGTTGAACAAAAATGTGCCTTATTCCCCTTTATTCTGTACCCAGAAAATCTCATGAAATGGGAACTTGGACTAACTGATTCCTTTTCATTTTCGTACTTCCAATTCGATTCGATTCCAGTCCAGTCCGATTCATGAAGAACTCCCATATGAAGAAAAGGTTGTGAGAAGTTCAGTAAAATTCCACTGTACCTGAAATGGTGATCGGTGGGTTGATTTCAACAACGGTTGCCTTCCCTTCCGTGAGTAACCGTGGCAATGTGTTGGCCTCCTTGGGCTGCACTCCTACCTCGGTCCATATAGTAACGTGAGGCCATTCATTTTTCGAGACTATTTTTTCGTCATCAATGGAACCAAGTTGGGCTTGCAGTGCAGCCATTTTATCAGTGAACAGAAGAGCAGTCAGTTCCGCAGGAACCTGACGATGAAGGTAAAGACTGTAACTAGCCACAGATGTGACACCATGACTTCTCTTATGAGCAAGAGTCACATGAGCCTTCTTGAGGAAGTCGTCCATATTTTTATCCTTGAGGAATGCCTCGACATCGACGTTCATACCAGATAACTGCTGTGCATTCAACGGAATTTCTGTTACTCAGATTTCTGTTAAGGAACTCAAAAAAGTTTTTGAGGACAAAAAAATTTTGCTCACCTTGTCAAGCAGGCCCTTGACTTCTGCAACAGGCAAATTGACAGCAGCAAAAACAACAGTTCCAAGCTTCTTCTTCTCCGTACTTGGTACGGTGTAGTCACCCTTTGCTATCTTTCTCAGTTGTTCTAATACATGCTGAACTGCAAACTCAAATGGAACCTGACAAGAGGCCAACGAAAGATATTCAGTGCGTCTCAATTGGGAATTTATAGTTTCCGGGCTCACAATCCTCACTAGTTAAGGAACAAGTCCGGTAAGTGCCAATAAAGAAGTAGTGAGAGCTGCTGGAAAATGTAATTATACAAACTGACCAACAGTACTTCTGTGAGAGAGCCATAAACTAGGAACTTTTACGAAAAGAGGTGAAGAAACCCTCCCCTTCTATTTAAAAAAAAAATGCATGCTAGTAGAAGATGAAGATAATGTTGTTGACCTGAATAGAATTAAGATATTCAGCATTAGCGGATACAATGTCCCTTAATTTCTTCTCCCATTTAACCCACTCCTGTGCGTATGAACCTTTATTTGACTCCAATCTAAGGGAAACAAGAAGGGAAAAGAAGTAAATATATCCATCAAAGTTAAAGAACTAACAAATAATAATAGTGCCACCAATAAAATAATCCCTGTAACAGAAATCAATAAAACTATAATCAATTCAGGGATCACTTGGTAGGAAACCAATTTTAGCAACCTACATCTGTCTTTTTGATCCACTGGTTTTGTTCACCAGTCTATTGGAAAAGACTCTACTTGTCGGAGGAAACAATACACCCTAAAGTTTATAAATCATACTAGTCTGTGCCAATTAATAGTGGCTTAAGACTTTTTTTACCAACCTTCCATGTCTCTTAATGTGAAGATTGTATAGATCTATTCCCTCTTCCAACACTGATATCAAAGAAGCAGGTAGGGGGCTCCTGGAGTTGGAAGAAATATACAAAACATTAGTCGAATAAAAAGCAAGAAATAAATGTCATTCAGTTACATTTCGTATGATAAGTGAATTTTTATAATATAGAGGGGGAAGGGAAGGATGATAATAAAATACCATAAAATCAATATTTAGAGGATAGTACAATCATAAAGGTCAAATAGGCTTCTCTTAATATTCAAATAGATATCCCTGATATTAATAGTCACCTTATTTCTAGTCTCCCTCATTCTTTTTGATGGTTCCTTCGTTTGTTAGAATAAAATAGTTGTTAAAATAGCTAAGCAGTTTTGGTGCCAAAATTCTCACCTGTCAGGTTTCAGCAATGGCATCTTGACAAGAGAGCCAAAACGTTCAACCAATTCATCCTCAAAATATTTGCGACTCTAAATATTTGAGCATTTGTTAGATTTATTCGAATGTAAGAGAACTGAGACCACAGTTGGGACAGCATAAGTACCTTTCCATCATAAAGGTGATAAAACATCAGCATGACATAGCCAACATTTGGAGACGACTTGTCAAGATTACCCTAGAATTTAAAGAATTTGAGAATTAGCTAGATGATAACAATGTTTACTTAACGATTAAGCTTAAAAGAAGGACAATTGAGTACCGGATGATTGACTCGTTGAAGCACACGGAACATGAAAACAGCTAATGCATCAAGAGCAAATGGGTTTGAGTCGGTTCCTGCAAGTTGATGGAGAAATTTATCTAAACTGAGATAATTTGTTTTTTCCCTTTTGGAGAAAGTTATGTTACACACACACAAAAATAATCATAATAGTAACTAAAATATTTGTATTAACCATTTAACATCAATACTTGGCACCCTAAATAGTCAATTTCAGAACAAGAACCAGAGAGTGAGAGTTAAATTGACTTTACATTTTTTATAACTAATCCAAGTAGTTAAATGAATATAATAATCTTCTAAAATTTCAATTTACTAGTCCTACATAAAACCTCACGTCTACTTAATTTTATATACCAAGTAACTTAGGCACAACAGTCATTTAATATATATAAATATAAGGATATTAAGTCAGACTCGAAGGAAACATTTCTTTTCAAGGAATCAAGCCAGATGTAACAACATGCCTTAAAAGTAGCATAAATGACCAAAATCTAAAATTTGAGACCATCAAAATTAGAACTATGTTCCTTTCCTGGGAAAGGGAAGCAATCTGATATGATTAAATGACCCAAGACCCAACCCTATGCAAAACAACTTGAATGATGAAATGACCAATTCTAACCCATTTGTTTGCCCCTAAGGTCCAACAAAAGAACAGCAGTGGCGGATCTTGACATTGAATTTTGAGGGCCCAACTATAAAATCATAAAAAATCCAAAATATTTCTTTTTTGATAAGATTAGAAGGCCTCATTAAAAGCCTCCTTCTTGATTAATGGATCTTGAAAAGAAGCTCCTTAATCATTGGAAGGAGGAAAAGAGCGCCTTAGATTTTCATAAAAGAAAATAAGATTACAACCTCGATAAATCTCTTCGAAATAACCCTTACAACAGTCTATAAATCCCACCCGAACAGGAATCAAATGCTAAACTGAAACAGCAAACAACATAAACATTAGCCTATTCCAGCCTTTGCTAAAGCATCGGCGTCCATATTGGCTGACCTAGCAACCCAATTTATAACCCCCCCCAAAGATCTAAGATTGTCAACTATATCACTAACAACGAAAGCATAAACAACTGGGCATGAATTGACATTGTTGATCCAGTCTACTGCAACCCTGCTATCACTCTCAACAATCAGCCTATCTTTGACCCTCCCTTGAGCAGAAGCATATAATGAAATACCCCTCTGAATAGCTTTAAGTTCGATCATAGTCGGAGGTCCCAGACCAGCTGACTCTTGAAAAGAACCTAGGACTGAACCTGAATGATCCCTCCAAATACCTCCTATACCCGATTTCTTCCAGTCACTACTAACGGCTGTGTCCACATTCAATTTAAAAAAACCAGAAGGGGGAGGTCCCCAAGGGAATGAGGAAGACTTTATAGATGTAGGGCGAGTAGGAATCTGCTAATGAAGGATCCATAATCAAGGAATCCTTATGAATAGAAACGTCCTTGTGCTTAGCTAGAAACCAAGAAGCCAGCCTAACTCGTGATAAGAAAAATAACTCTAACTGATCAAGCTTTCCCTCTTCAAAGACAATAAAATTTCTGGCCTTCCAAATGGTCCAAATGATAGCCCCAGGAATGAAAGTCCAAATAGAAGAATTTGATTTCAACTCATCCCAAGCAGTAAGAAAGGTTTTTGCATCAGCAGGAAAAACAGAACTAAATCTCCAAAAATTATAAAATTTGTACCACAAAGCCCATGCAACCGAACATGTAAAGAATAAGTGCGTGGAAGTTTCCTCAACCAATTTACAAAGAGGACATAAATCATCCTCGATACCTTGAACCCCTCTTTTAATCAGTTCAGATTTAACAGCTAGCTTGCCAAGCACAACCTGCCACATTAAAGATTCAACTCTAGGGAGTACCAAACCTCTCCAAATAACGTTATTCCAGAAGCAAACATCATCTGATCCTGAAGCACAACTTTTAATACAAGAACTGACTGAAAAAACACCATCCCCACTGCCTTTCCAAAGTAAAATATCACTGGAATCTTTAGACAAAGAATAGGGAGAGATGAAGCTCACCAAGTTACACCATTGTTCAACCTCCCAATCATTTAAATTTCTTCTAACTTGAACATCCCAAACCCAGCCAGAAGGAAGGAATTCCCAAACTCACAAAGTTTACCAGATCTATTAGAAGAAACCGAAAACAATCTAGGAAAAAGAAACTGAAGCGGATAATCTACACAAACTTCGAAACTTAGAGCCAAAGGAGTCTTGTTTGTAATGATTGTTAACCACCGATCTCCAAAGCTAAGAAGATTGAGGAGGAACCTTGCTATCAAACAGTAACCTTGAAGAATCAATGTTGTATTTGCTATAGATAAAATTCCTCCAAACAGAGTGTCTCTCATTTGCAAATCTCCAAAACCATTTCCCTAGCAATGCTCTATTCATACTAGTCAGATTCCGGACTCCCAGACCACCCTCGTTCTTAGGTTTACATACATCATCCCATTTAACCCAGTGAATCTTCTTTGAACCATTTCCCCTTCCCCCTCCCCATAAAAAATTAGACATGATCGAGTTTAGAGCCTTAAGGATTGAAACTGGAATCTTGAACATAGACAAGAAATACGTAGGCAGTGAGGACAAAACCGATTTGATCAAAACCAGTCTCCCTGCTAATTAAAGTGTAGCAGCCTTCCAACCCGCTAATTTAGTATGAAAATTCTGCACCACCGGTTCCCAAATAGCATGTGCATTCTTAGTTGCCCCTAATGGAAGACCTAGGTAATTAGAGGGGAAACTCCCAACCGAACAACCAATAGAAGCTGCCCAGGTCTGAACCTCCTCTTGGGAAATATTAATCCCAAACAAACTGCTTTTCTTTAGGTTAAGTTGCAGCCCTGACATAACCTCAAAAACTCTGAGCACCCTCTTCACATTCATAATCTGTGTTTTCTAAGCTCCACAGAAAATAATTAAATCATCAGCAAACTGTAAATGTGTGAGCTTGAAAGACCCTTTCTCCTTGCGAACTGTCAGACCAGAAAATAGTCCTTCAGAAACAGCCCGCAGTATTAATAAATTCAACAACTCCCCTACTAGATTAAATAACAAAGGTGAAAGTGAACACCCCTGTCTTAGTCCCTTGGCCATCGAAAATTCCTCGGTTGGAGACCTATTGACTAACACTGAAATGGAGGCAGTAGAGACACATTTCCTGATCCAACTAATCCAAGTCGAACCAAATCCCATTTTTTCCATCACCTTGAATAAGATAGGCCAATCAACCGTGTCATAAGCCTTTTTGAAATCTACTTTAAAAACACAACCCTTTAGCCCTTTCTTCCTCCAATAATCAATGCCCTCGTTAGCAATGAGGGAGCAATCCAAAATTTGCCGACCGGGTATAAAAGCAAATTGTGATTGGCTGATGATATCTCCCATACAGCTTCTAATCCTACTTGACAGACACTTGGAAAGAATCTTGTATACACCTCCTACTAGACTAATAGGTCTATAATCATCTAAACTTCCAATGTTAGAGCCCTTAGGAATAAGGGTGATAAAGGTGTGGTTAATACCATGTTCCCAATTTTCCCCCTATGGAATCTGTGAAAAAACTGCATGATGTTACCTTTAAGTACAGACCAAAACCTTTTAAAAAATCCCAAGTTCAATCCATCGGGCCCCGGAACTTTATTACTATCGCAAGACTTTAAAGTCTCCCAAACCTCCTCTGAAAATTCCTTCTCTAAAAGAATGTTTTGATCCACGGAATTTCTAGGAAACGTTAACCCAATGTCTTCCACATCCAAAGTAGGCCGATTATTGAAAATATTAAAAAAGTGCTCTTTAACAGTGGCCTTAATTACAACTGGATCATGAGTAATATTCCCCTCAATTAACAAAGCATTCAACGCATTACGTTTTCTTCTAACTGAAGCGCAAGTATGGAAGAATCGAGTGTTTCGGTCCCCATCGTTAATCCACTTCTTTCTGGAATTTTGATACCAAATTTGTTCCTCAATTCTAAGGAGTCTCCACAACTCTGATCTACAATTACGTAACTCCTCGATTTTCCCCTGAACCGAGCTGTCCTGCAACATCTGAACGTCCTCCTCTAACTTGTGAATTCTCCTTTCCAAATCTGAGATTGAGGCTCCCAGAAATTGATTTTTCTGCCCTGTCCAATTCTTAATGGCAACCTTAGACTTCTTCAAAACACTTAGGATTCCAGCTTTTCTCCCATCCTTCTTGCAATCTGCTATAGTATGACAAACCATTTCCTCAAAACCTTCTTCCTCCATCAAATAATTAAATAGTCTGAAAGGTTTTTTCCTCCAATCAACTCCGCCATCTTGTAAAAGAATAACATTATGGTCTGAAATAGATTTAGGAATAAGTGACTGAATTATCTCGGGAAAACCATCCAAAAATTGTCCGTCCACCAAAAACCTATCCAACCTAACAAAAGTCGGATCATCTTGGTTATTGCACCAAGTGAACCTTCCCCCATTCAAAGGCAGATTAATTAGACCTGTTGACTGAATAAACTGAGTGAAAATCCTCATTGAAAGTCTGTTCTGAGCTCTGCCCACCTTCTCATCCTCACACAAGTAGACATTAAAGTCCCCTCCAACACAAACCGGCATATCCTGTCCAGTAATGAACACGCTCAGTTCTTCAAAAAAACTTTCTTTTTCTTCATCCACTGAGGGTCCATAAACATTAATGAGAATACTTCTGAACTGATTAAATCTGAATTTCCCTATAACCGCAATGAATCTTCTGTTAATACTGTGATTTTCCATTTCAAACACATTTTCATCCCAACAAAATAATAACCCCCCTGAAGAACCAGTAGTTGGAGATTCAATAACCCCCTGAAAAATATTCAATCCCTTCCTTCTCAAAAAAGACCTGTGGATGTTTTCTGTTTTAGTTTCTTGTAGCCAAAGAAAAGAAGGATGATAGTTGGAGACTAATCTCTGAACTGCTCTTTGTTTCTCTCTTTTTCCCACACCCCTGACATTCCATGAAATTATAGCTAGTTTATCCTTCATAAAAACTGATGAATAATCTAGTTTCCCCAAAATGGCAACTCAGTTTGCCACCTTCAAACCTTTCTCCAGCTCAATGATTTTATCCAAGAAAGCTTCCTTCCCCTGTATAAAAGAAACCCCCAGAATCTGACTAACTTGCCATGTAGCTACTGCTTCATCCAAGATTTCTGAGAAACCTGAAGAAGATGCTGTATAAATATTGACATGTTCTAAAGCTTCTCTAACCAGAATTCTTCTTGCCCTTCTCTTAGAAGTGTTAGAATTGTAGATAGACAAATGTTTTTCCTCAACACCACCCTCAGACTCTTCAACCAAACTCCTGGCACCAACTTTATCCACTAAATTTGGAACCTCACTGCCCCGTAAATTAGACTCTGCTGTTGTAGTAATCTGGAGAACCGTCGTATAAGCTTGTTCAATAGCCTTCTTTAGACCTATCACATCCTCTGTAGCATTATTTTCTTTTTGATCATTCCCATACCAGTAATTCCTCTCCTTACATCTTCTGTAGACTCTTCTAAAGCTGGCTATTTCCCTCCTCTGAAGAGGCTCACTTTTTGTAGAAAGGGAACTTCTACGCACCACCCTCGTTCTGCCCCTTGATAAGCTCTTTGATAGTTCTGAACTAGGGACTGTCAGCTTAGAGTCAGTTTTATTAACCTCCAGATCTGCACTGCCAGACGAACCTGGAATAGAGCAGAACCCCTTATATTGTTTTCGGGCACAACTTGCTTATGCAATTCCCCTGTTCTGAACCAATTTACCAAATTTATTGATTGTATACGCTGGCCCATAAGGAATTATGTTAGAAGCCTCCAAACCACCCAGTTCAAAGTCATCAGATTGGGCTTCTGGCCCATCAACCGAACTTTTTGAAAATCTGATACCCAGACCTGCAAAGTCACCTCTGGTATTCCCAACGTTCTGACCATCTGACACTCCTTCATTAATATTTTTCCCATGTTTAGCAAGTCTTGGAAGATGTTTTTCCCCATCAAAACCTTCTGAACCAAAGGACATGCCCTTCTCAATCCACAAGTCAACCTTTTGTCTGAACGCCTCAGCTGATTTGACTGAACTTTCCTCATAATCTGACTTCCGCCTATAATCGCCTTCCTCAGACATCGTCTCACTAAACTGTTTCCCAAATGTCCCGGTCGCCGGCGAAAATTTAAAAAAAGGATTTGAATCTTCACTAGGTGATCCAACTTTAATGGAGACTCTATACGATCTACCATAGGAGCCGAGAGTAATAAATTCGGGAACATCAAAAGGACTAGCAACTCTCATAAGAATTCTAGCAGACGTGAGATCATCTCTGTTCTTTGTGGACTCATGAATTTTTACGTTATTCCCCCATCTCCCAACAACTCGTACCAAAAAAGATTCATCCCAGCATAACAGAGGCACCCCAGATAACTCGAGCTGGCAGAAAGCCATTGGCACTCCTTCATTCAGTAAAGGGGCCAATCTGTCAAACCAGAAGCCTATTACACCTCTCTTCTTTGTCCATGCCTCCGACATCTCCTCTTGAGATTTGAAGATGATAGCACAGGAATTACGGACATAACCCCAACCAGCAATCTGAACTTCATAACCGTTACTAAGGAAAAACTCATAAACTGACTTAAAATCAAGAGAGAGCTTAATAATCCCCGTTAAAGATCTTCTGACCCAACTCCGACCCTCGGTTGGGATATACATTTCCAATACATTCTTCTTAGTTTTCTCCCTATGGCTCCCTTCAGAAAATTTCTCCCTATACTCCAATGCATTCATCCTCGTAACCTCAGTAAGTAAAGCATCTCTGTACGATCTATCATCTCTAACACTCCTACTGGATAAATCTGCCTCTTTCAACTTAGAAGGTCCTGCTGTGGACAAATCTGGAACCAACTTAACTGGACTCTTGTTTATCACAATCCTTGGACGAACATCATTGTATTTAGCAACTCCAACAGAAATCCTTCTCCCATCTATCAGTGAACCATTCAACATCTCGATTGCCCTCTTCAAACTAGATTCCCTCTCAAACTGAACAAAAGCGAAAGTGGAAAATCTGTATTTTGGATTTTTGGTTTCTTTCGGGATGAAAACTCTCTCCACAGTCCCATGGGACGAAAAAATATCCCTAAGCTCTCGCCGAGAAACTCTCCTGCTAAGATTATCGACAAAAGCCTTCCAGACCTCGCCGGAATCTATTTTCCCTTTTAACTTTTCTCTCTCCCATGATAACAATTTCCTCTTCTACACCAAAATCCAAAATATTTCAACAGACATCCAGATAGATTTTTAAAATTTTTGGGGTAGCCATTATATATAAAAGGAAATTTTAAACAAATTTGAGGGGTCATATTCCAAATTTTGGGGGAGCCAATGCCCCCCTGGCTCCTTATATGCTCCGCCCCTGCGGATTAGTTTATCTGTATACCGCCCTAAATTAGAAGATTGATTTGAAATAGCAAGGATAATTTTAAGACAACCATACGCAGACAGAATATATCAGACTAGCAATCAATAGATGATTTAACTTTTACAACGGATAAAAGGGGGGCAGGGGAGATTTTCTGGCATTAGATATAACCTTCAGAATCAGGTATAATAGGAACAGCAGAAGCTCTGGTGCTATGGCACATGTTTTCAATCTGGCATATACAAAAAGGACAGTCAAATAAATATTTTTGAAGTCCTAAAAAACTAATGCTTACGTAATTATAGCAAAATCAGAAAATTAAAACATCTCATAAGCTTTCACTTTTTCAAAAGCCCAAATCGTAAGTCTTACTTCCCTGCTGCTTTATTTGGGCAGTGATACAATACTGATAATAAGAAAACTCCTTAGTACATCCACAATCAAGCAAACAAACTAAAGACAAAAGGAATTGGAGATTTGTGATTGCTAATGACATAGAAGATACTTCAAGTCAAACTAAATGAACTTTTTAACCGATTCAATTGTGAGCAAATAAAATCTCCATTAAAAAGCATGAATATATCATCTATAATATGTACATCTATGACTAGTATTTCTTGTATCATATAAAGGACAATATCAAAATGTTATCACTTTGGGGTAGCTAATCTTTCAAACTATTTGTCAGACTTCATCCATATAAACTTTTTGATCATCTATAAGAATCAAGATGTACCCCCATTTGCATATAGGGTATACGAATATTCAATAAGGCTCTGCTTGGTATGAAGGATCGAAAGAGTGAGGATAGAAAATTTATTAATGTAATGGTTAAGCTATAAAATAAGAAAATGGCAATGAATACCAAGCATTTTTTTTTTTGATAGGAATAGAAGGCCTCATTAAAAACCTTCCTCATAGTTGTCTCTTAAAGGAGACAAGTAGCGGAAGAAGGAAAAGAGTGCCTTAGTAGATTAATAGCCAACAATTACATAAGATTACCAAACATTACAAAAGATTGCCTAAACAAAGAAACCTAACCAAAATAAAATACCAAAAGCATTTGATTGATGGGTTCTCTATCCTTACTACCAATCAAAGCCTAAAAGTAGACAACTTAGTATTTTTGTAGTGCAGCTATCAAAAGTTGACAATACACTGCTAAAGCAGCTGCTGTCAAACCAAACCCGCGTTTATCTTTTGTTAATTCCAATTAAAAACGTGCACAGTAAAAATGTGTCAAACAATGAGACTTACCTGTTTCCAAACTTCCTCATTTGGTGCATTCTTATCAGCAAGAATTATAGAATAGGGCTTTTTCTTGCGCTCATCAGCAATTTTGGGCCAATATCGTCCTGTTAATACAAATAGCATAACCTCAATTACATCAAGTAATTCTTAACAAACCAATACCACATCATCTAACCAATGTAATTCGATTAAACCCCCAAATAATGCACTCCATTTTTTAAGCACCAATGTAACTTGTCAAAATCGGAAAAAGCAAGTACGGTTTGATTGCAGCAGATTTTTCTCAAAAGTAAAGCATCAATTTATATCACACAAACTTGGCATAAAAATGGTGATTCTATGCAATAATTGATAAACACAGATGGAATAAATAATATTAACCAATTGATCTAAACTTGGCATTCAAGCATATATGGATAGGCAAGTAGATACAAAAGTTAAATTGGTGGAACACGTTGATTGAACAAAATGTTATGGAATGCTCATTGCACCATGTTATACAATTACCTTCTGATAAACATTAATCATAACTTATTCCACACACACACACATGGAAGTAGCATTCCTAACACTGGTCTAACTGAAGCAAAGGCTGTGAACCATTATTGAGATGTTTGATGGAACTACTTGTTTGACGTGACTAAATGTAATTCATTCAATTGATATATTTTTGTTAGAATTCACTAAACCTTGTTATTAAAAAAAATATGACAATCTCGATGACTTTTTGCTGAAACATTTTGATAAACTGTACCATACAAATTGATTACTACTTTATGCAATAATTAATATACTGATACCAACCTATCATTGACATTCGACATTAATGCTGTCGATACTCCAACCATTTCTACCTTGACTATCAAAGAATAGAGAGAGAGAGAGAGAGAGGCCTAGATAGACATACGCATAAAACAATTGAGCATGTACGGACTTTTAGTTACAATCAAGAGTTTAAGTTAAATGCCCAATTTCACTGAAGAGAAATGTTTTCAAACCACCAAAGGACACACATTATGGGTCAATTTCACATTTATTATATACCTTTGATAAGGTCACCCATCAAACTCTGAACTGATCGATCATCTCCAAGTCCTCCAGGGGTATTTAATAGTTCTCTGCAAAGTGCAGACTTTGCACAACCTGGTATGCCTGGAAAAAAAACAATTATAATGCACAAACACAAACAGTAAATAGAAGAAAAAAAACCCAGAAAATCTTAAAACATTCATGAGAAAATGCAATATTAACTAGGTGAACTACAATTTGATGCACATATTGATTAATATAAGCCTAAAAAAAAGTGCAAACCATTCAGAAAGTAGTATTAGGCAGATTTTCCATGAGATACGTGAGTGGAAAACCATATAAATTTTAAAACAAATCATCACACAGGTAACTCAGAAAAATTTACATATTTGGAAAATTGCATAGGCTTAAAGACATTAAATTGATTGATAAAATGGAGGATTGTTTGTTGTGGAATGGAATGGGTGAGGGGCTGTTTTCTGTTAAAGCCTGCAGGATGTCCCTTTCTTCTATTAATGAGGAAACATTTCTGTGGAACAAATGGGTCTAGTTGGGTTTAGTTCCTCCTAGTGTGGAGACTTTCCTTTGGCAAGTATCTCATCAAAAAGTAGCTGTGAGAGTGGAATTGAAGAAAAGGGGGTTCCTATAGGGGAGGACAATCTCTGCCCTTTGTGCAATCAATTTGAAGAATCAGTTCGGCATCTATTTATGTTCTGCTCTGTTTCGTGGGAATTGTGGAACAAAATAATTGGTTTTTGGGGTATTCTTTTCTTTTAGCTCTGCCCGATCATCCACCCTCCCTTCTCACCTCATGGTCTGATTTGAGACCTAAATTTGCTATTTGGAAGTTTATTCCGGGGGCAGTTTTTGGTCAATATTTTTTTTTGATAGGAATAATAGGCATGCCTCATTAAAAACCTCCCTCATAGTTAACTCTTGAAAAGAGTAACTAGCAAAAGGAGGAAAAGAGTGCCTTAGTTTATTGAATAGAGAAACTATTACAATAAATTATACCAATACATTTAGGGCATCAAAATAAAACTATAATCTTAAAACACCCTATAAAAATACCCTTACAATCAACCAATCCCATCCTTAGATAATTTATCTGCTTTCCAATTACATCACCTAGGAATCCATCGAATAATAACCGCCCTCTCTTGAACTAAGGACACAATATCCTCAACAAGTGAACTGAAGAAACTAGGAACAAAATTAGGCAGCAGAATCCAGTCTACAGCAGATTTACAGTCACTTTCTAAGATCAATCTTCCCTTTCCCCGCCCAATCTGATGATAGAAAAACGTCTAGGCCTTTCTTAATAGCTTTTAGTTCAGCCAACGGAGGAGGGCCTGGACCAATACTAACAGAGAAGGTCGATAGGATGATGCTATTACAATCTCTCAAAATACCACCAATTCCTCCCTCCATCCCATCAAACTTGACAGCCCCATCAACATTAAATTTATAAAGTCTGTAAGGGGAGGCTGCCAACTTTGTTTCGAACTCCTGTGTGTATTCTGGTAACCAAACCTGTCTGCTAAAGAGGGACAGATTCTCACTGTTTTTCATCGTTCGATTCAGGTTAGCGAAATGGTTCCTAGCAAAAATATCCTCTTCTCTCTATTCAGGTGGATTCGTTAATTGGTGACCCTTCCTTGGCAGATAATATTTCTTCTTTTAAGGAATTGAATAGGCCTGTGCTCTGTTGGAGTCCTCCTCCAGTGGATTTCTTTAAGATGAATGTGGATGGGGCTGTTAGTAGTGTTGGGATTATTGGTAGAATAGGGGGTATTCTTAGAGACTAGAATCGGTCTATTCTTATTTCTTTTTCAGAAAATGTTGGTCCTACTCCTCCACCTCTAACAGAATTAAAAGCAATCAAAAAAGGCATCGACATCTTCGTATCTTCAGAATGGGTATTGAAGGGTAGGCTCATTATTGAAAGTGATTGCAAGTTAGCAGTGGATTGGATTAAACCAGCTTCAGTTCCTATTTTCCTTACAAATTTTGTTAAGGAAATTGTGTCTGTTGTTTCTCTTAAAGCGATTATTGTGAGGTGGATTCCTAGGTGTTGTAACTGTGAGGCTGATAAGCTAGCAAAGGAGGGAATTGGGTGATTGTAAGCTATGTTATAGTTGTTGTGTATGTTTTAGTGTACAGGTGTAATAGGAGTGTGTTTAAGTCTTATGTAACTGGTTTATCATTAATATAATGAGATACTCTTTTCCTCCTTCTGCTAGTCGGTACTTGCCTTACGGGTAAAGTACTACTATGAGGGAGGGTTTTAACGAGGCCTCCTATTTCTATCCAAAAAAAAAATTGAGAGGACACCACTTTGGTCCTAATTCTTTATCTTTTAGGAATATCGTGGAAGTGAATTTGTTTACACAAAATTATGGCACTATATAGTCGATCAAGTTTAAGCTGCAAATTGGATAGCTAAACCACCTCGTTGTGGTACATCAATAAGCTAATTAGAAAGAAGATTCAATTCTTCTAAGAATGAAATTTTTGGAAAACTTTTAACAAATCCCAGGGTCCTATGATCTGTTCTCAAAACCATGGTTACCTTCAACACCATAAGATCCCAACTTTTAGCAACCAAAAAAAGAATCATCATAGAACTGCATAAATAACAGTAAAAAGTATTATCAACAAGACAAGTGAGGCTTCAGCCAATTGGAAAAACAATGTTACCTGGGAAAAATACAATCAAACCTTCTTTTTTCTGAATAGTGTCCTTGACTGAGGGACTAAGACTTTCTGGTGCTGCCTCCCGTTCAGTCGCAAGATCACCCTCTTCATCCATGCCTCCCTCAACAACTGCCAAGAAATCTTCGGCCCTTACCAAGTTCCCAGCAGATCCAATTAGAGCCTGATTCTCTGGACTGCGTTTTGCAAACTGTTCAAGAAATGGCTCTGCTTCAGAAAGGTATATTGCTGATGATAATTGTCTGATCCCACATTTCCTTCGAATGTACACAGCCCTGGAATTAAGGAAGGAAATATAAATAAAAGCCTAAGGTAAGTACCGGAGAATGAAATCACATCCAAGTGCACCAAATTAAACTTTCAACATTACCATTCATCAAGCATCTTGCTGAGCGCTCTCTGCTTTCCTGCTGAAGTGCCCCAAATCTTCATTTGCCTAAATACCAGAAAGGAACAAAGTTCTCCATAAACGACCTTAATCTACTACACAGATTTATTTGATAACATGGGAGAGAGATGTCTCAACATTTAACCATGATTACCATCTAAAACCAAGAACCAATGCCTCATATAAATCAGTATACCATTTCCCCCACCCAAAAGAAAGATTGTTGCTTACTATAATTCACAAAACAGAAGAGCATCACACTACTTTGCTTTCAAAATTTACCTCAGGTAGTAAGCCTTGTAAGCAGCTGGACCATCCTTGAAAAGAATTGACAACCCATTGCGGATCAGAAATGTTCTCAACTGGGAAGGAAAAGGCATGATAAAAATCAGACTTAAAATGAAAAAAAAAAACTTTCTCGAAACGAATGTCCATCCTCTAGCAATCTCTCTAATTATGGCCAATAAAGCACATTAAAAAAAAGAAACATAATTAAAATAGAGGAATACTTCATATAATGCATAAAATGCTAAAGCATTATGCAGGAAACATAATAAGCCTTGTATTCATTACAACAACCTTCAAACTGCAATTCTGAGCAAGGAAAAGATACCACTTTCAATTAATACGATGAAAAATCATGACACCTTATCTCTATAATAATTAAACAATAGCTCATTGCATCAAGAGGTTTATGAAGTATACCTTATATGTAAGGAACTTCAGTTTAATCATTAGATTTGCATCTTCATTGGCTAAACCATCTGTTGTGGATGTTCTACTGCCATTATTTACATGTTGCACTACATCATTGTTGCTTTTTGCAATTTCAGCAGCTCGTTCCTTGTTTGCCTTGAACAAATTAATATCAATAAAAAAACCTGAGAATAAACAAAGAGCATGAGAATAAAAAACTTTTTATGAACTCAGGGTAGTATGTTTCTTGAATGCTTTTAAAGGAAAGAATAAAATGAGAAGTAACATCATCACACAGGAAAAAGAATTGACATCAACATATAGGTCATTTCAGTGAGTCGGCGATGTCTTGTTCTTAGCCCCTGATAGTCATTATTCTCAATGATTTTGGCTTTTTCCACCATTGAAAGCCAACAATTATATAGGATTCCCATGGTAAACCAGTAAAAATCGTTCAATTTATGAGGACTAACAGCAACAATGTTTAGAGAAAATTCAATCAATTTCAACCCAGGCATTTACCCATCAGACTGTTTAAATTTACCATTTCACATTTTCAGATAAAAAGATCTGAACTGCTTAATAAATTATGGTTCTTATGGTTAACTGAACAACATAATACTATTTGCCTTCTCAATAGAATAGTCCTTCCAATAATAAGATTGTCTAAACTCTTATCAAAGTCTAATAGAAGATATCCTATTAATACATATTCTAACACTCATCATGTAAAAAAATTGTTTTCCAGATAAAATGAATAGGCATCATACAATTTGTATTAGCTGAAGTTGCAAAAATTATTTGATTTTTTAAGCTACTTGCAAGAAATAACATATATTAGAATCAGAAGGAAAAGCTTATTAAGCACAGACACAAGATGAAGAAAAATGCGTCAAAAATCAAAACAAGGTTATCAATTTTAGGAGCACCAAATACTCGCAAATCACAACCATGTTCCTAAAGACTTGAACATGAATAAATTTTTTTAAGGAAAGTCTAGGTATCTAGATAAAATATATTTACCTCGATAAAGAGGCCACAATCCTGGCTTGTGCCTGAAATATAAAAAATTTGTTCAGTAAGGAAATGCAAAATAACGTGAATTTTAAGAACCTATCAAAAGAACAGAAAAAAGATTTTTTTGATAAGAATTGCATGCCTCATTAAAAACCCCCTTCTTGACTAATGGAACTTTTGAGAAAGTTCCTTAATCAGTGAAGGGAGGAAAAGAGTGCCTTAGGATTTTATTGCTCAAGAAACATAGTACATAAAAAACAACCAACAGACTGACTGAACACCATAAAAATTACAAAACATTTAACACTACTTGTCCGCCCGTATACAATAGCGAAACTACCACATCCCCTACAACCACAATAACCCAAGACCCCACTGAATGATCTCTAAAGCAATAATGTGTGATCAGCCAATCCCCTGTTTAGCTAAGGTATCAGCCTCACAATTACATCTCCTCGGTATATGTCTAATAATGATCGCCCTTTCCGAGATTAAGGAAGCAATTTTTTGAACCAGTAACCTAAGGAAAGGAGGAGAAGAAGTCGGCTGTAAGATCCAATCCACCACTGTCTTACAATCACTCTCAATAATTAACCTTCCTTGAGTCGCCCATTCTGACGATAGAAAAAATTCAATGCCTTTCTCTACGGCTTTCATCTCAGCGAGTGGAGGAGGACCTGGACCAACAGCAAGTGAGAAGGACCCAAGGATTTTGCTTTCCGAGTCCCTTAAAATGCCTCCCATTCCCCCCACCAGCCCGTCCCCACTAACTGCCCCATCAACATTAACTTTAAAAAAATGAAGGGGAGGAGGAAGCCATTCCTGAACCTTCATCCTTTTAGGGTGCCTTGTCTGGTGCTTGTTTGCAAGCGACGGGTCTCCTACAAGAGAATCAACCTGAATGAAATCATTCGGGTATTTAGCAAGGAACCACTTAACCAACCTAAATCTGCATATGAAGAAAAGTTTAGGTTTGTCCAGTTTGCCATCATCAAAAACCACCGAATTTCTAGCCTTCCATAGTGACCAAAGAACTACCCCTGGTATAAAGCCCCATATTAATGACTTTGGCCTTAAATCCGATCAGGAGTACAACAAAGAGGCTGGATCATTAGGTAAAACTGACGAGACTCCCCATAACCTCCAGAAACTGCTCCATAAATCCCATGCAACCTGACACGAAATAAACAAATGCTGATCTGTTTCCTCCTGCTTAGCACATAACGGGCAAGACACCTCCTCCAACGTAACACCCCTTTTTATCAACTCCGATCTGACTGCCAGTCTTTGATGAGAAACCTGCCAGAGAAAAGTTTCGACTCTAGGTGGGGCCAAACCTGACCAAACGAATTTCTTCCAAGTGAGACTGCCCCCTGAGTTGGAAGAAAGGGTCAACCTGCAGGCTTTAGCAGTAAACAATCCATCACCCTTTCCCGACCACGCCAAAAAATCATCCACCGAATCAGATAGCCCAACATTCTCCAATAGTGTCATCAGTCAAATCCATTGCTCCATCTCCCAGTCACAGAGATTCCTTCTCGTATGAATGTTCCAAATCCACTTATTGCTTATTATACTTCCAAACTCTGAAACTTTTCCCCACTTATTGTTGGATAGAGCATATATCCTCGGAAATTGACTTTTTAAGGATTCCTCATTTAGTCACACATCATGCCAAAATACAATCGACTTTCCATTACCAACTTGTATCTTCGAGTGAGATCTTAAACCATTTCCAATTGCGTCCTCTGCCATGTAATTTCTTGTAATACCCTTCCATATCCAAGAATCCGAAGGAGAGATTACCTTGTTAAGGTCTAAAGACATAGTACTCGCATTATGTTTACTGCAAATCATGTTCTTCCAGAGTGAGTCTTTTTCATTTGCGAATTTCCATACCCATTTACCTAGTAGTACTCTGTTAGCGAAATTCAAATCCAAGATTCCCAGCCCACCCTCCTCTACGAGAAGACAAACCCTTTTCCAATTCACCCAGTGAATTCTGCTTTTTGAAGAACCCTCCCCCCACAGAAAGTTTGCCATAATAGAATTTAGTTTCCTATAGACCTTACTCGGAATTCTGAAAATAGAGAGGAAAAAAATTGGCAGGGAGGATAAAACTAATTTAATCAACACTAATCTGCCCGCCATAGAAAGTGAGGAAGCTTTCCATCCGGATAATTTTTTGTTGAAGCTTTGCATGACTGGCTCCCAAAGCGCCTCTGAGTTCCTTTTTGCACCTAATGGTAACCCTAAATACACTGTTGGAAGAACCCCAACAACACAACCAATCTCCTTAGCCCATTCATTTAATACCTCACCCTCCACATTGATTCCATACAGATTACTCTTCGACATATTCAAATGGAGGCCAGTCATTATGCTAAAAGTTCTCAGGACTCTTTTAATATTGAGGATGTAGGTAGATGAGTCTCTGCAAAACACAATCAGGTCATCCGCAAACTGTAGATGAGTTAGACTGAGGGCATCCGACCTTCCAAAAGTAAATCCCTGAAAAAGTCCCACATCCGCCGCTTTCATCAACATACGATTTAACAGTTCCCCCACTAAGTTAAACAAGAGAGGCGACAAACTACATCCTTGTCTCAACCCTTTGCCCATCGAGAACTCCTCTGTAGGAGAACCGTTCACTAATACCGATATCGACGCCGTAGAGAGGTAACATTTTATCCAGGAAACCCATCTCTCCCCGAATCCCATGACTCTGAGTAATCTAAAAATAATTGGCCATTCAACCGAGTCATACGCCCTTTGAAAATCAGCTTTGAAAACCACCCCTTTCAGCCCTCGCTTCCTCCAACTATCTATACCTTCGTTTGCAATAAAAGCACAATCTAGTAATTGTCTCCCCGGAATGAATGCAAACTGTGAAGGGCTCACAATATCTTGGATAACCGAAACTAGTCTCCTTGCTAAAACTTTGGAGATGATTTTATATAGACTGCCAACTAGACTTATAGGTCTGTAATCTTCAATACATTCCGGATTGCCTTTCTTTGGAATCAGAGAAATGAACGCATGATTGACTCCATGATCCCATTTTCTTCCATAGTAAAAATCCTCCATAAACTTCATAAGATTCCCCTTTATAATTGGCCAGACTTTCTTATAAAACCCCATTGTAAAACCATCAGGGCCTGGAGCTTTAGAGCTGTCCGAAGAAAAAATGGCCTCCCTTACTTCCTCTTCTGAAAAAATAACCTCGAGGCCAGTCCTTTGCTCTTCTCTCAATATATCAAAATTCAGGTTCAAGTTCTCTACCTCTAAAAAATCTCTAGAATTATAGGCTTTCTTGAAGAACTGAGAGACCGCAACTTTAATCACCTCTGGGAAGAATAGAAAAAAGATGGCCATATATAAGGAAACTAAGGATTCAAGAAATACCTCATCTCCTTGTGATAACGTCTAAATGCAGAGTCACTATGAACATGAATGACCATTTTATAGAAAAGGTTATCACTTGATACAGATTCAGCTTTGTGGAAGTTATGATAACATTTGAATGCAGCTGGAAACCGTTTTTCTCTCATCAAACGAATCATTTCCTGGTTTAACAAAGAAATCAAATCAGTATTTTGCATGTAAATTAATTTGGAAACAGGATTTAAAACAAAACTTCAATCGATGTTGGAAGCTAAATTAGCTACTCAAAGGGAGTGCTTGTTGCCACCACAAGAGGCGGTCCTACAGGACTTCAATTTCTGCAGGGTTGGTTCGTAACTAAAGATGGCAACAGCTTTTTTCAGCTCTTTCGCATAGAAGGGTACAAAGGGAGGATTGACAAATTGGTAACTTCATCCCAGGTTTCTTGATTGCTTTCAGGGTTTAGGTGGTTGAGTATTGACTATTGGGTTAAGTCATTGAATGTAGGAGGTTGATAGTTCATGCAGTCCATTTTTTGAGGTTATTCAGGGTTCAATTTCAGGCAGGTTGAATAAGCACAAGTTGTACATGTTGAAGAAAAGGAGAAGAGAGAGTAGTCTACCTGCAACTTAGCCGTTGAATAATCAGCAGGATGAGCTTGCAAAAATTTAGAAAGTACAGATCTGTCTGCATTTCTTGAATGTGAATCATGCCATTCTGAATGATCAGGACAGAAGGAAGAACCAACATTATGAAGGAGGGCCTTTATTTGCTGCAGTGGTTTCAAGAAAAGCAAAAGGTTATAATTAAAAAATAGATCATAATTAATAAGAATCTATTAGTCAAAAGTATAAAGTATAACCAGAAGACAAGTATATCATTCCATAAAGGAAATTCCATGTCACCTGTTTTTCATCAGTCCTATTTGCAGCACAAATTTCCCTTAGACTTGGTCCCAAATCTATGCCAGCTGACAGAAGCAGGGAAATTCCATAATTCAAAAGCAGAATTAATTGGTTTTGACCAAAGAGATGCATGTCTTTTAACAGCCCAAAAAATAAACTTAACCGTTCGTGACAAATAAAAGAACTCGATAGGGAGAGCATTCGTCTAACCATATAAAGATTTTTTTTTTAAATAAAGTGAATGACACCATAGTTAAGAATAATAATTCACAGGTTTTGCTTGAAACTAAGGAATCAACAAATGAAGGAATATGATGATTCAAGAACACTGCTTATGTAGGGATAGTAAGGGTGCTTGTGAAATCCGAGTTTAGCCCAGTAGGATAATAACCACCCTTACAAGGGGCATCTTGCAGATCTGAGGTTAATTCTCAGTACTGACAACCCATTCTCTATCCCCAGGTTATAGTATCCTTTGTACAAAAAAGAAAGGGTAAGGCCATAAAGGTGCTTGTGCATTTTGAGGAGGAATTACACTATCTGGACCTGGTTGAACCATATTAGTCATCATGTGCTTCCTAGATAGTTCATTCTGCTTCTAACTGTAAATCAAGATGTTCTCCTCTTCAGAGCGTGTTAAGAGTGATTTAAGAGGGGGAAAAAAACTTGATGAAAGACATAGAGTCTTCACAAGAAAATTACTTAGCGACAAAGAACATAAACAAAATGCAGGAGATGTGCCATTATACCTCCGTCAGCTGGTGGAGGAGGATGATCTTTCAAGACCTCTTCCATGTGTTTTGAGCTTTCGTGACTTACAATACGAGCTACAAGACCCTCCAAGATTTCTCCCTGTACCATAATATGATCTTTTGAACCTGCACGTCAATAAAACGGTGATTAAATGCTGCTCAATTACTTCACAATAAATTCTTTTGAAGTTACAAGAGAGAAGTACAACATGAACTGAATCCAGTAACACTGTAAACTTTTGAGTATGCTAAAAAGAGATTTTTGAAGAATATATAAAATGTTCTATTTCACAGCCTAGACAATAAGACCCCATATTGCCCCAGATAAATGTACAAAATATTGCCCCAGATAAATGTACAAAAATATGCTCACCTCCATTAAGTAAGCCAAAAATTTTGAAAAAAAAATTATAGTATCAAATAACAAAGTAATTCTTTGTATCATGTGTAGAAAGCTCAAAATATATGATAGTTTAATGACATTAAAGGGTTCATTGCATGCTTAATGTGTTTCAAAGATCAACAGCTGCATAGTTAAGCAAAAGTCATAATTAAATACTAGCACATTGCGTTCAAAGAAATTAAAGGGACACTTGAACATGCCTTCCATAAGCATTTTTCCTTTTGATTACATTTAGTACATTAAATACCATCTAGTCTTTCATCCTACTTTCTCATTTCAATAACTCCCGCTGAGTGGTACTAGATGGACTAGAACTACATCATGCAGAATTAATTGTTCGCATGATTCACTGATAGTACAAAAGGAAAAATAAGAGAGAAAGATGAGCATGTTGCTTCCGCTTTTGAAATGTAAAATCACCTCAGTAAATGGAAATAATTCCAGTATAATTGGATTAGTTGAAGAAACAGAAAGTGAAAACTGAAAGACATTTTAAGTAAAAAAAACTTTTACCAGGTACAGATATATCCGCAACTTCATCAAGAGCGCTACATGCAGAAGTTGCTGTTCCTTCTTCATATAGCAGATCATAAGCAGTAAAAAATGATGTAACTGACTTCCTTCATTTATAGAAGAATAATCAGAAGCCATAAATTGCAGTTTCATAATATTTATGCATCTAAGAGCAGAACACACTACATAAGGGCACCAAAATCAAGAAATTATACCTAAAAATAATAAAGAATAATGCATGCGTAGAGAATAAATGCAGCAAAAAATATGTTGTTTGGGGGTGGGGGTGAGGGTGGAGGGGATAATGCTGAAGAATGGAAAATAAGCTAGTACTGTCACAAGCTTGCAATGAGCAATGTTAAGAAACTCTGAACTTTCAAGTCAAAGAACAGATAAGAATTCATTCCAAGTATAACAAATAGAAATTTGAGTTTAAATTACTTATCAAAGAACTCAAGGGAAATAAAAGTGATTTTCAAAAACAAATACAAATTCAGAATTTCTGCTTTCTTGTTGGTAATTTGATTAAACAAGTCCTACACCATCACCTTGTTGAGAACAACCACACGTGATTGGTTGGTAGACGCCATTTACGACAAAAAGCAATTACTTCAGGAGTGGAGTAGAACTTTGGCTTTCCATTGCCCAATTCAGTGACAGCTGTCACTACCGCTGAAGGAAGCAATAGTGTGTAAACATTAGCATAAAGCAAACAACTTTAAACATGGATCATATTACTAAAGATAATTATATCACTAGCCATATAAAACAATTTTAATTCTTAAAAGGTGAAACAAAAAACAGTATTCCCTCTCGCATCTCATTAACTAAGATGAAAAGGCTATTTTATTGACTTTTTATTTTTACTGAAGTACCCAAGTCTGACATTGTGTCTGACACGTCCAAATATGGCCAAATGTCAAAATCTTTAAAAAATAGTATGTGTTGGACACTTGTGCATATCCAGCACACACAGCCAAGTCCGAAAAACATATGAACAAAATTATCCTTACGGGTCCCATATCATGCCACAACACTAATGGAGAGACTACAATATTATCAATTTTGTTAATCATCAACAAAATAGATTGACAGCTAGTTAAACACTTCAAAAATAATAAGAGACAAACACTTAACCATAGTCATCTCGGGGACGCTGTCCATGGTCTCCAAGAACTGCAGTTACCAACTCCATTGATATGGAAATTCGATTCCGCTGAAAGAAATAACAAAGATAACAAAATTATCAATTAAGAAGCCTAAATAAATTTTAACAACCATTGGATCAAATCAATAATCACAATCTTCTTTTCATGAGCCTTCAAAGTAAATCAATAATTACAATCCTCTTTCATGAGCCTTAAAATCAAACCATCATCAACCTCCACTGCATAGCAATATTTATTTATATATATACAAATGAAAAGCAAAAATAACATGCAACATATAGATAGAGATGAAGCAAACTTTCATTGGCTAGAATGCCGTGAACTAATAACATTTTCATTTTGCAGATTTCCTTTTAACTTTCTTTTCATCCACACTAGTTACTCAGACGATACCTCGATGAAAACATTGAGCAAACTCTACTTGGCCAGAATGATATGAATTAATAATATTTTCATTTTGTGAATTTCCTTTGCAATATATGTTCATCCAAACCAGTTGCTTAGAATGCTACCTCAATGAAATCATTGAATTGTGCTTGCATCTCTCCAGCTTTACTTCCCCAAGCCTCACGAAACATGCGCCCAAGGACAAATACGCCAACAGCAGTGTAACTACAGCAAAACAGTAAATCCATCATCTGGGGAACAACAAAAGAAACGATAACTGTAGGAATTATAGAAATAAGTTGTCAATCCCTTAAGTTAAGAGATTCTGTAATTATTTTCTGTTTTTCAATCCCTTATTTCAAGGGATTACATCTCCTAGGATTAGTTTCCTTTCTTAGAGTTTCCTAGTTTAGAGGCATAATTTGTATATAAATATGTAATATGTTCTACTAAATGTACACAAGAATAAAATAATAGACTTGTCTGTTTTCTACAGTCTGTTTTCTACATGTTATCAGGTTAGAGCGATCAATCCGATTTCCGCTTCTCTTTAAATCAATTCCTATTCAACTCTATTTTTTTTCATGGCTAATCCGAATCCCTCAGCATCCGAAATCACTTCCCAGACCAGCCCCTCTCAATCTGATTTTCAAATTTCAAATTTTCAAAGCAACAGAGGAAAAATCGCCTTCGGTGTGAACATTGTAAGAAGCCAGGCCATATGATAGATCAATGTTGGAAGTTGCACGGAAAACCAGCCGATTGGCAGCCCACACGGTCCAGGTTTCAAAAGGAGCCTCATATTGCCTCTCAAGATGATTCCTTAAGCAGTTTTAGCAAGAAACAGATAGAGGAACTACATCAGATTTTGAGCAGTATGACAGCCAAGCCTACAAATGTGACTTATACTACTACTGATGGAAATAATCCATATGCTTCATCGGTACAATGGATAATAGACTCGGGTGCATCAGATCATATGACAGGAAATATTGATCTCTTGGAGGAATATAGTGAAAGCAGCTTACCAGCTTCTATCAAAATAGCAGATGGCTCTCTCACTACAGTCAAAGGGAGTGGTTCTGTTACATTAAACAAAAATCTACTACTTCATAATGTCCTCTATGTTCCTAGACTTGCATGCAATCTGTTGTCAGTCAGCAAATTAATTAAAGATTTTGGTTGTAATGTTGTGTTTGGTACTGGTGGTTGCATTTTTCAGACACAGGGCTCGAAGAGGGTGATTGGCAATGCTAGGTTGGGCAAAGGATTGTACACCCTTGGAGGTAAAGCATCTCATAATCATGCCTTATCCAGTGCTCTTAGGAAACCAATTTTATCTTCTAATCTCAATACCAATAAAATTATGTTATGGCACTCTAGATTAGGTCATCCTAATTTTTTCTATCTTTCCAAAATGTTACCGAACTTATTCATTAATAAAGATCCAACTTTGTTTTCCTGTGAAATTTGTCAAATGGCCAAACACACTAGAACCATATATTCCAACCAAATTTGAACCAACACCACCTTTTTCCATCATCCATAGTGACATTTGGGGCCCTTCTCCTGTCAAAAGTATTTTTGGGTATAAGTGGTTTGTGTCTTTTATAGATGATTACTCTAGATACGAGAACCACCAAAGAATAGAATAAAATTTTCAAATATGGCTTTGAGCGAGAGTGTCTTAGGTGGTCAGTCCTCTGGTGAGGATTGGACGGTGTTTGTAGACAATCTTAGTAAGAGAGTCACTTGGAGAACATTAAAGGATATTTTTCGTCAGCAGGGTAGTGTTACGCGAGTTTACATCCCGAATAATTTTAACAAGCCAAATTATAGAGATCATACGTTTGCGTTCGTTCAGTTTGTGAAGGAGGAAGGAATGAAGAAGGCGATAGCGAATGTCAATGGTATTTGGATAAACGGGAAGAAAGTTTCGGTAGGTGCAGCTAGATATCGGAGGCAGAGCCATAGGCATATTGTAAGTAGAAATCTCAAAAAAGATGATGATAAGGTGTTTAAGAGAGAGAACTGGAAAAGAAGAGTTGGATCTGAGTCTTTCAATCGTATGAGGGATGAAAGATCATGTAAGGAAGCATTAGCATCGTCTGATGGGTTGAGGGAAGATCCGACGAGTAAAAATAGTAAGGAGGGTCACCTTAGTAAGGATGTTGGAATGAGAAATCTGTAGGAGATGCATTTACCCTCAGCTGAATGGGATTGGGTGAAAAGATCATTGACTGGGATTATTAAATCCCATTTTGACCTGGAACTAGTACTGAAGGGGCTGGCTAGTGAGGGGATTATGGTTGAGGGTGCTAAATGGGGATATACATGGAACTCATGTATCCTAACTTTAGATTCGGTGGAAGAATTTAAGGAAGCGTGGTCGAGCAGATTGGAGAAATTGTCCTTTTGGTTTGATTGGATTGATCCGCTTTTGAATGATGAAGGTATTCCGATGGCCTTTGGTTCGGTTGACCTTGTTGGTATTCTATTATTATGTTGGAATGTTTCTTTTCTGGAAAAGCTTGTTTCAAGGTGGGGGAAGCTTGTCTGTATCCACGAATCAACGGCAAGTAGAAAGGACATGGCGGTGGCAAGGGCTCTGTTGAGGGTGGCCAGTCCTTTTGATATTCAGGATTATGTTATTTTGGGTTCGTATGGGAGATCTTTCAAGGTCAAAATTAATGTGGGGTCGGTCTATAAAAAACAAGAAAGTTTTTCAGTAGGAAATTCAACGGTGGCCGGCAAGGGAGTGATCAGAGGCGATGAACTTTTAGAGGAGGAAGAAGGTCGGTGCTCTGATGGGGTTGGGAGACAAGATTTAATAGCTGGCGATACTAGGGACAATGTAGATAGGTGGTTGGTAAGAGAGGTTGGTACAGCTGTGGCAGTCGGCAAAGGGGGTCAAGTTTTAATGTGGAAGGAAGGAGAAGGTCAACCTAGTGGAGTAAAGGTGTCAGAAATTCCAGAAAGAAGTTTGAATTTAAGAGGGAACTTTCAGGGTATGTGGAATAGAAGTAATTTTTCTAACGAAAGTAATAAAGCCCAATCAGAGGACTTGAGTGAGCCCATCACAGCTGGGCCAGATGTTAATTTAATTAGAGTGGGCTATGATAAACATAAGGAAGCTCGGATGGAGGAGCAGGAAGAGTTACAGCAAAATGTGATGGTTGAATCAAATTTGCAGGATTTGGTTAGAGCTTCGCCTGATTGTAATTCAAATTTAATAGTTGGTGGGTCCAATAACAGAATACAAATTCAGTTTTCAAAGGAAGACCTAGTAGAGGAAGTTGTAGTCTTGGAAAAGGAAGATGGTACTGTGGATGGGATTGAGAGGGAAAGGGAAGGAACGCCAATGCTATTGGGTGATTATCAGGGGAGGGGAATAAATAAAAAGCCTTTCTCTCTTGGTCTAAGAAGAGGTTTTTTAAAACACAAAAAGTTTAGGATTGCTCCAACTTGGTCGGGTAGTGCTGGTTCGGAGGGTGAAGCTTCCATTAGTTTCCATGACCGAGTTTATGAAAGGGTAGATGGAGGTCTGGTCAGGGTTCCTTTGGATCAAAATAGTGCTACTTCTGAGTCACTAAACAAATCTGTGGAAGCAAGATTGGAAGCTGCTGCTACTAGGGAAGTCTGTGATATGTTGGGGATCTCTTTCAAAGGGGGAAATCATGTATTGGAAGAGGAGATCTTGAAGATGGAGCTGAATGGGCCTATTAGGAGGTCTTGAGTTGGTGTTTTCAGGATGGTCAGGTTTTGCTGATATTGATAATTATGTCACAAATCAGATTGATTTCATGGAATGTTAGGGGGCTTGGAAAAAAAGAAAAAATAAGAGCAGTTGCAAGATTAGTATCAAAAGTCAAACCGGTAATTATGTTTATTCAGGAATCTAAATTGAATAAATGTCGAAAGGGTTTACTGAGGAAGTTGGGGGGTAATTGCATGAAAGGTATTAGCTTTCAGCCAGCTACTGGTTCAGCAGGGGGGTTAATATGCTTGTGGAATGAAAATCTGTTTGAAGTTAGTAGGGAACTTAAACAGAATAGATTCATTGCGTTATCAGGAAAGTTTAAGTTGGTTAACTTTGAATGTGTTGTTGTTAATGTGTATGGTCTGTCGGTTGAGGCTGATAAAGAGGAGTTCTTTGGAGAGTTGATGAGTTTTATCATTTATGTGCACTTAATAAGAGTCGAGTGAATGCCATTTCGTCTTTGAAAGTGGATGGGGAAGATATTATTACTCCTAATCAGATTAGATCAATTATCTCTGAGTTTTTTAAAGTCAATTACAATTCGAATTCAACTCTGGAAGTGGACGAATGTAATCTGAATTTTAACAAATTGACAGAGGAACAAAAGGCTGGGTTAGAGGTGGACTTTTCTGAACAGGAAGTGGGAAGCTGTCTTTTATTCGGATAGTGCTAAGGCACCTGGTCCGGATGGGTTTTCTATGGGTTTTTTTTAAAAAATTTGGTCCATTTTGAAGGAGCATATTATGCAATTTGTCCAAGATTTTCATAGAGGTAAAGAATGGGAAAAGGGAGTGAATCATTCCTTTATTACTCTAATTCCTAAGAAAGCGAATCCAGAGGGAATTGAAGATTTCAGGCCTATTAGTCTTGTTGGCAGCCTTTATAAGATCATTTCTAAGGTGCTATCGAAAAGGCTTGTCTCTGTTGTTAATATCTTGGTAAGCCCTTCACAATTCGCTTTTATTCCGGGTAGACAACTGATTGATTGTGCGCTTCTGGAAAATGAAGGCATTGACTATTGGAGAAAACTAGGGAGAAAAGGAGTTGTTTTCAAAGCTGATTTTAGTAGGGCATATGATTCAGTTGAGTGGCCTATCCTATTCAGAATATTGAAGGTTATGGGTTTTGGGGAAAAATGGATCTCATGGATTAAACGTTGTGTTTCTTCAACTTCTATCTCGGTGTTAGTTAATGGTTGTCCTACTGACGAATTCCACATTAGTAAAGGGTTGAGACAAGGGTGCAATCTTTCCCTCTCCTGTTCAATTTAGTGGGGGAACTGTTACATCTTATGTTGATTAAGGCTGCTGATTTAGGTCTTTTTCAAGGGTTCAGCATTGGTAGGGTTGGTAACTCATTTCATTTGACACATTTACAGTTCGCAGATGATTTAATCCTTTTCTGCAGAGATTCTCCAATGCAGATTTTAAATATTAGAAGAGTATTGAGGATTTTCGGGGTCATG